ACTTCAGGATGCTGTCCTGGAGAGGGTCCTGAGCTCCTAGGTCACCCTCAGTCCCAGCCTCTTCCTTGCGGGATGAGAGAGAGGGTGGACTGGGGCAAGGGACTCCTGGGGAGAGCCTGCTCAGGTCTCCTTTGCCACTGTTTCTGTCTGGCCATGTCCGAAGACTGCGGGGTATGGTTAAGGGCACGTGGAAGGAGACAGGAATAGATCCAGGCACGCCGTGTGTCTCTACCACTGTGGATGAACCTGTCCTGGCCCTTTCCTTAGTGGTAAAGGACCAGATAGGTAAGGAGTGGCAACCTCTTGAAAGACATGGGTAGCTTCAGGCTTCTTCTGAAGGGGTCTCCGGCAGACTCCTTAGTCCCCCCTGCACTTGAGTATTTCTGAGACACTGGGTGGAGGAGACTGAATGTCCAACCTCAGTCCAGAAGCTCTTCCAAAGGGGCAGGAGACTATCTTTGAGGCTTCAGGGGCCAGGTGCAGAGTGCAAAAAGGCATAAGTGTTGGTTACCTGCCTTTCCCAATCACACGGATCCCGCCCTTCCTGTCCAGGGTGGGTATCCTACTGGGTGCCCTCTTCACTGTGCCCACTCCTGATCACTGGCCCGGGACTGTGTGTGCTCTCACAGGCCCACGTCTGGAGCGCCTGCAGAGGTTCCTCCCCATCAGCCTGCCCATTCAAGCTGTCCCAGGCTGGTGCAGAAAGGATTGGGAAGGGAAGCTTCAGTTTTCCCTAGTTCAGAAATGGGAGATCTTGTGGCACATCATTTTTGGTGAATCCTGTAGCTAAGTGAGGAGTCACATTTTAAGAGAATACTTGATCTATATGACAAAATTTACTTTAACAGTGATAATGACAATGATAAAAAAATTAAGTGTGCATCTTTGAGATTTTTAAAAAATGTTTGTTTATTTATTTATTGTATTTATTTATTTAGAGAGAGTGTGCACAAGCAGGAAGGCAGAGAGAGAGGGAAACACAGAATCTGAAATAGGCCCCAGGCTCTGAGCTGTCAGAAGCTGTCAGCAGAGAGCCTGACACAGAGCTCAAACAAACTGTGAGATTAACAGTGACCTTATCAAGTCGGACACTTGGGAGCCACCCAAGCACTCCAAGATTTATTTTTATATGCCTATATCTCGATCTATTGATAGATCTATCCTGCTATAGATACACACACACACACACACACACACACACACACACACACACACACACACACAGAGGTATAGTGCTAGCGGGGGATGGGCAGAGAAAGGGGGAAACATAATCCCAAGCAGACTCCACATTGTCAGCGTAGAGCCCGATCTGGGGCTCGAACACACGAACCGCGAGATCATGACCTGAGCTGAAATCAAGAGTTGAACGCTTAACCGACTGAGCCAAACAGCGCCCCCTGGTTTTGTTTTTCTTAAACAAGACTGGGAGCATTTGAGACTGTAGTTCAGCTGTTGGATTTTTTTTTTTTAATCTAACAATGTACAGAGGACAACCTTTGCTGTCAATACATATAAATCCATCTACTTCATTCTTGTTAATGGCTTCATAGAGAAGGCCAATCTATGCTTTTTTGAGCCTAAAACTTACACAATTTGGTTCGCACATTTATGGAAAATAACACAAAATTATGAATAAAAAATGAGATACAAAAGGGAAAATTTACTTAAAATGAGAAAAGAAATGACAAATTTTCTTTTTTTGAGAGGCTACACTTTGAATACTTTTTATTTCCTTCTTTACCCTATGTCCTCCCTCCTCCAGTCTGGAAATACAGCAGCAGGGAGCTGTGATAAGATTTTTAAAATTTACTCTCAAGTTCATGAAACTCTGAAATATTTACATCATTTAGTCATTTATAGATTTGTGTATGTAAAGTATTTCAGAGGAGATAGTTTTTTTTTTTTTTAATTTTTTTTCAACATTTATTTATTTTTGGGACAGAGAGAGACAGAGCATGAACGGGAGGGCGGGAGAGAGAGGGAGACAGAATCGGAAACAGGCTCCAGGTTGAAGCATCTAGCCCAGAGCCTGATGGGGCTTCAACTCACGGACTCATGAGATCGACCTGGCTGAAGTGACGCTGACTCCCATCATGCCCACCCAGGCTCTAATGCGAGATACTTTTTAAAAAATTATTCCTAGAACTGTTGTTGTTGTTGTTGTTATTATTATTATTATTATTATTTCTTGATATAGAGATCAATATGGTTACATTTTATTTAGAAATTTTTCTTTCTTTCTTTCTTTGAATCTAAGTTAACATATATTATAATAATGATTTCAAGAATAGAATTTAGCAATTCATGGGGCACCTGGGTTGCTCAGTTGATTAAGAGTTCAGCTTCAGCTCAGGTCATGATCTCACGGCTTGTGAGTTCGAGGCGCACATGGGGCTCTGTGCTGACAGCTCAGAGCCTGGAGCCTGCTTTAGATTCTGTGTCTCCCTCTGTTTCTGCCCCTCCCCCACTCGTGCTCTGTTTCTCTCTCTCTCAAAAATAAACATTAACAAAAAAACAAATACCTTAAAAAAATTTAGTGATTCGTCAACACCTGTTGTTGCCCGAGTTGTTAATGTTAGCCATTCTGACAGGTGTGAGGTGGTATCTCACTGGTTTTGATTTGTATTTCCCTGATGATGAGTGATGTGGAACATTTTTTTCATGTGTCTGTTAGCCATCTGATGAGAAAGGACAATAAATTTTAAAACTTACAGCTGACAATTGTAAGTCTCCACAAGTTGCTAATTCTTCCCAGGACCCTGGAAGGGCCTTGAACTTGACCTTGAACTTTGCCTTAAGCTTTATGAACTTCACTGGTAAATCTGCCCCTGGCTGCGGTATATTTCTTTGGATTCACTATAATTTAATGAATGCCCAGTTGATTAGACATTTAAGTTGTTCCTAGTTTTTTGCTATTGTAAACAAAGGTGTGATTGAAATCCTTATAGATTTATCTGTGCAGTTATGCTATATTTTCCATAAGTATGATTGATGGCTCACCAAGTGAGCACAGTTTACATTTCAATGGACGAAGCCATTTTGCTCTCCAAGAAGACTTCCCTCCAACAGTGTGAGTCTGCCTTTGTTCTTACACTAAGCCAGGAATGGATATTAGCCTTTTCTTAATTCCTGCCAGTCTGGCGGGTGGAAATTAAAAAAAAAAAAGTTCTTTTGATTATTCGTAATATTGAGCTTTCTATATGTTTGCTAGACATTTGTATTTCTTCCATGAATTAAACATCCACTTATATCCCTTGTCTATTCTTTTTTGCATTAATTTATTAGAGCTCCTTAGATGTGCTTTGGAAAGTGAATCCTTTGCTGTTGTGTATTGCAGATATTTTCACCTCATCTGTCTTTGTGATATCACACTGAGGTTTTAGTCTTTATCTAGACATCTTTGTTATTTTCCTTTGTGACAAGAGAGAAAGGCATTGTTTATCCCAAGATCACAGAAAAATTTGTTATATTTTCTTCTAGACATTTATAATTATATATTTATTTAGTCATCTTCTTGTCCCATCTAAGTAGTTTTGTGTATGGTGTGATATATGAATCTAAAAATGTTTTTCTAAATTGATAGCCAGTTGTTCAAATGCCATTTATTGCGTAGTTTATCTTTTCTCCACTGGCTTGAAATTCTATCATTCTTATATAATATTAGAGTCTTCTATAGTCTATTTCTGGGATCTCTCTTCTTCCATTGGTATTTTCGTCTATTCTTGCATGTATATTTAATAATTAAAAAATATAATGAAAGTCTTTACAGACGATGCATTAGGGGCGCCTGGGTGGCTCAGTCAGTGAAGGGTCCAACTTAGGCTCAGGTCATGATCGCACCGTCCGTGAGTTCAAGCCCCACGTCAGGCTCTGTGCTGACAGCTCAGAGGCTGGAGCCTGCTTCGGATTCTGTGTTTCCCTCTCTCTCTGCCTCTTCCCCACTCATGCTCTCTCTCTCTCAAAAAAATCAAATAAAAACATTAAAAAAAGAGACATTGCATTAAAATCTTCATGGTGATTATTTCTGGATATTGGCATTTTGTGAGTGATTTAAGTTTCTTCTCATTTGTGCCGTCCACATTTTGTACTGCGTGCAAGTACACTGGCATAAAATGGGGGAAATGCTTGTCCTTTGTCTTTGGTTTAGGGACTCCTGGTTCTGTGACCCTGGCATTTGGGCCAACAGGAAGTAGGTTAAGCATTTTGTTTTGGACATGTGTGACAATCAGGATATTTCAGAATTTTTGCTGTCGGTGACATGTTTTGGGGACACATAAGCCACCACACTGTAATTTCTGATATAGCAGGAATTCTGATATAGCCTCCAATTTCCCCCGTCTGGTCTGATTCACTCTACTGCCTGTGCTCTCTGCCTCACGTAGGATGGGGGCCAGGAGAGCAGCTCTCTTCTCATGCCAGCCATGCATGATAGCTGTCCGCCCCCATCACCCCTGCCTGGGCCACAGAGTGACATGTAAGGTGAAAGTGAGCAGAGGGGGGAATTAACAAAAGGCATGATCACCACAAGACTTGAGTGAGAATTTGGTTAAGATGCTTTCTTGGCAGTTGGCTGGAAAATCTGGCATCTTACCATAGACGTATATGAAGGAGAACGAGTGTGTTCTTCAAATCGCTTTGAGTGGAGTTACAGGTCTTAGAAGCTCTTCTTTGAGTCTTGGGGTGCATCAGATTTGTATGTCTTTATTCAACAAATCTTCATTGACCATGTAGCATGTGTCACACACGACTGTAGTTGCTAAAGATAAAAGAGTGAACAAAAAAGACACCAATTCCTCCCCTCAAGGAGCTCATAGTGCAGCCAATATTCGTTACCAGCTACGTAGGAAGAGTGGTGGATCATCACCATCCTCACTGGGCATCTAGGAAATTGGGGGAAGAGGGGCGGGGTGACTTGCCTGAGCCCCTCAGCACCGTGTAACAGTGGCCAGGGTGAGTCCCGGCTCACAGCACTGCTGAGCTGGCCCACCTCTCTCGCACAGATCATCTTCCTGCAGACCAGGCCTCGCCTGCCACACATAGCCACCCTGCTGAGCAGCTGCGTGGATGGCCACATCTATGCCTGGTCCATCCATGGAGGCGGAGGTCTGCTCGGGAAGTTCCCTGTGGACTTCGAAGACAAGGGGGATGTGGTTGTGGGCGCCATGGCCACTGATGAAAAAGACTTGATCCTCGTCACAGGGGATTGTAAAGGATACATCAAGGTGAGGAGGAACTGGCTTGAGATTAAGGGGGCGGCGTCAGCCAAGCTCCGGCCACCTCTTTGCTAAATGTGGCGCTAGCCTAGTCTCTTCTCCCTCTGGGTACTGGTTTCATTTGTAAAACAGTGGGCAGTAAAAGTCCTCTTCTGCTCTGGTGTGCCCAGGAAATGAGTGAGGACGTGGTTCCAAAAGGCCCTCCAAGAAGCCTCTCCCGGTGGGTCCCCTATTCCATCGTTCTCTTCCTACAACTCCCTCACCCCCCAGCTATGCATCTCTCTATGAACAGGGGTCTCAGCAGCCAACTTCATAATTTATGGTGAGCCATGGGGCAAGAATGTCTTGTCCTTGGGCCAGTCACACCCTCTCTGCCTGCCGGCTAATAGGTCTGGCTTACAAGTTCCCTTGGCCCCCTTCTGACCCGAGTGTCTGGGTATCTCAGAGGTGTGAGTGAGAACTGCCCCACTCACACCTCAGAGTGAAGACAAGTAGTTTGGGAGGGGCCCACAGTGTGAGCTGGTGTTGGTGTCAAGGGATGCTGGGCCACTAACCCACATTTTGTGCCTAGATCTGGGACATCAAAGATTATTGCACATTCAGTGACAAGTGTCCACTTAAACCCAATGGAACAAGCAAGTTCCAGTTCTTAATTCCTGAACGGGTCCAGATCAACCTTCCACACTACATCCCCTTGAAGGAGAAGGAGGTAGGAAGACTCTGGGGGAATCTGAACCCCACTAATGATCTGGGGCCATGGCTCTCTTCCTGAGATTCTGAGTCTTTCGTGTTTCTTGTTCAATGTTGTCTGGTTGATGTGGAGACATTTTTGTTAGCCAGAAGTCACCATTAACCAGTCAAACACAAGTATACACACCTGCATACACATGCGCATGTACACACACACACACACACACACACACACACACACACACACACACACCATTTCTACGGGCTTTAATCTTTGCGATGAAGGCCCTGGACTCATGAATTCGTTTTAAGATAATGAAAATGTTTATGTATTTTCTTGAGTAGGTAATATATTTACATAGTCAAAAATCACTTGATATTTCCCTAATGACTAATGAAGCTGAGAACCTTTTCCTTAGTTATCAAGAAAATGCAAATTAAAACCACAGTGTGATACCACGACATACCTACCAGGATGACTAAAACTAAAAAGACAGGCAATACCAAATGTTGGCAAGGATGTAGATCAACTGGAATTTCCATTGCTGGCAGGAATGTAGATTGGTGTAATCACTTTGGGGAACTGTTTGGTAGTTTCCACTAGAACTGAATATGTGTCTACACTATGATCCAGCAATTCCACTGCTAGGTTTATATCCAAGAGAAGCCTGTGCTCTAAAAGATAATGAATAAGAACATTGATATAATTACCATTTGCAATAACTCCGCATTTGAAACAACCCAAATGCCCATCAGTGTAGACTGAAATATAAATTGTGCTATACACACCATATAGAATAATACCCAGCATTAGAAATGGATGGTTTGCAACTATTCATTACAAAATGGGTAATTATTTGAACAAAGTAGGTTAAAGAAGTCATACATGAAAGAGTATATATTGTAAGTTTTATAGTTCGATCTATATAAAGTACAAAAACAGACAAAACAAACACCCTATTAGAAGTGATTATCTTTGTGCGGGCATGGATTGGTCAGAAGGAGCCATGAGGGGGACTTCTGGTGGATGGACAATGTTCTGTTTCATAATCTGGGTCTGGTCATACAGCTGTGTTCAGTTTGTGAAAGTTTATTCGTTACATTTATGATATGTACACTTTTCTATATGTATGTTATACACTAGCAAAGATTTTAAAAACTCAGGGTGGCAAAAGGCCTGTAGTAAGGACTTTTAGTCCTACACCTATTCCCCACTGCCCAAAAACTGCCAAGAAAAACTTCTTGTTCCACTTCTGCTGATTTTTGGTTATTCTTCCAGTGTTTATTTATGGAAACAGAAATGTGTAAAGTTCTCTCCTTGTTTTTACATGAAGGTAGCATGTCATACACACTGGTGCTCACCTTGTTTTTCTTATTCCATAATATATCTTGGAGATCTTTGCATATGAGTACATTATTCTTTATAGCTGTGTAGTAAACCATAGGACATGTTATTGATATAATTCCCTTTGAAGGGAAATTGAGGTTGTTTTCAATCTTTTGCTCTTAACAAAAGTGAAGAGTGAATGTTGTTTCATATGTGTGAAAAATATGCCTGAAGGATAAATTCCTGGAAGTGGGATTTCTAGATTAAAGGGTTGTATGCATTTGCAGTTCTGATAGCCATCTTGCAGTCTTAGGTGCTTTTTGAATCTCTGCACAAAGATATTATGTCTAGTCTGGTTTTAGTAAGAAGAAAATGTCACTGCATTCAAATCTGTTGGGAGTAAGTCACCCATGGGTTCACTATATGAGGAATCTGTAATGTTAATATAATCGTTATATTAACAACAACGCGTGTCATTTATTTACTGCTTAATGTGTTTCAAGAATTGTGATAAGTGCTTTTATGTGTTCTCTCACTGATTCTCCGTAATTGCTCTGGGAGAGAGATGTTACTTTTCAGATGAGAAAGATAAAACTGTAGAGCTGGAGGGACCTAAGTTCACACAACTGCCAGTGTTGGACCTGGGCGTAAACTCAAGTCTGACTCCAGACTCTGTGCTCCCGACCATCTGCACTTAGTGTTATAATGATATAGTTTAAACAAATTGGGATTATACTGTATGTAACTAGAATTTTCTATATTATCAAACATTCTTGAAAACCAGACTTTCTAATGAAGAAGTAATATTTCACTGTATAGAGGTACAATCATTTATTTAACTTATTGTCAGACATTAGAACAGTTTTTAATTTTTCATTATCAAAAAATGATAGAAAATGGATAAATTCTTAGATATGAACTACCAGAATGGGCTCAAAATGAAATAGAAAATTTAAAGAAATAGAAAACTTGAATATCACAAGAGATCGAACTAGTAATAAAACTTCCCACAAAGAAAAGCCCAGGTACAGATGACTTTACTGGTGAACTCTACCAAATAATTAAAGAAGAATTAATGTCAATTCTTCAAGAATTCTTGCCAAAGAGTTTTCTGTGAGGCCCCTGTTACCTTGATAACCTAACCAGACAAGGACATCACAAGAAAATAAAACTATAGGCCAATATCTCTTATGAATACAGATGCAAATGCCACCAATAAAACACTAGCAAATTGAATCCAGCAACATATGAAAAGGATTACACATCATGACCAAGTGAGGCTTATCCCAGGAATGCAAGGTTGGTTTAATATCCAAAATCAATTAATGTAATACACCATATTAAGTGAATAAAGAACAAAAGACACATAATCATCTCAATAAATACAGAAACAGCATTTGACAAAATCCAACACCCTTTCCTGATAAAAGCGCTCAATTAACAAAGAGTAGAAGGGAACTTCCTCAACTACTAATGTTTTACTGGAAGGGCAAGTAGGCAAGAAAATGAAATAAAAGGCATCCAGCTTATAATAGCATCAAAAAGAATAAAATATTTAGGAATGAATTTACAAAAGTAGTACAAAACTTGTACTATTAAAACTACAAAACACTGTTGAAAGAAATCGAAGACAACCTAAATAAATGGAAAGATATCCCATGTTCATGGATTGGAAGATTTAATCTTGTTAATATAACAATATTTTCCAAATTAATTCAGTGTAATCTATCAATCCCCACTCCTTATTTTGCAGAAATTGACAAGCTGATCCTAAAATTCATACAGAAATGCAAATGTCCTAGAATAGTCCAAAAATCTTGAAAAAAGCCAGAGTTGGAAAACTCACATTTCCCAATTTCAAAACTTACTGCAAAGCTACAGTGAAAATAGTGTGGTGCTAGCATTAGCATAGACATATAGGTCAATAAAATAGAATTAAGAGTGGAAAAATAAACTGTCAAATTTCTGATCAATTTATTTTTGACAGAGGTACCAAAACAATCAAATGGAGGAAAGAATAATTGTTTAAATGTTTTTAAATCTATTTTTGAGAGAGAGAGAGAGAGAGAGAGAGAAAGCAGGGGAGGAGCAAAGAGAGAGGGAGACAGGAGACAAAATCACAGACAGGCTCCATGCTGTCAGTGCAGGGCCTGATGTGGGGCTCAAATTCACGAACAGTGAGATCATGACCTGAGCTACAATCAAGAGTTGGATGCTTAACCGACTGAGCCACCCAGGGGCCCCAGAAAGAATAATCTTTTTAAACAAATGGTGCTGGGAAAACCGGATATCCACAGCAAAGAATGAACACACAACATAAAGGAAAACATATTTTACTTCATAAATTAACTTTCAGTGGTCATGGACCTAAATGGAAGAGTTAAAATTAAAAGACTCTTAGAAGAAAGCATAGGGAGATATCTGCATGACTTTGGGTTAGGCAATATATTTTTTAATTTTTTTAATGTTTATTTGAGAGAGAGAGGGAGAGAGAGAGAGCAGAGGAGAAGCAGAGAGAGAAGGAGACACAGAATTCGAAGTGGGCTGCAGCTTCTGAGCTGTCAGCACAGAGCCCAATGTGGGGCTGGGAGAGCCATGAGATCATGACCTGAGGCTAAGTCAGAGGCTTAACTGACTGAGCCACCCAGGCGCAAGGGTTAGGCAATATTTCTTTTTTTTTTAATTTTTTTTAACTTTTATTTTATTTTTGAGACAGAGAGAGACAGCATGAACGGGGGAGGGCCAGAGAGAGAGGGAGACACAGAATCTGAAATAGGCTCCAGTCTCTGAGCTGTCAGCACAGAGCCTGACGCAGGGCTCAAACTCACGGACCGCGAGATCATGACCTGAGCCGAAGTCGGACGCTTAACCGACTGAGCCACCCAGGTGCCCCAATATTTCTTAAATATGACATCAAAAACACAAACAACAAAATAAACAAATAAATTGAATTTTGTCAAATTTAAAAACTTTTGGCCTACAAAAGACACCATATAAGAAAGTGAAAAGATGACATATAGAATGGGAGAAAATATTTGCAAATAATGTACATGATAAGAGACTAGTATCCAGAATATTCAAAGAAATCTTACACATCAACAATAAAAAGACAAATTACCCAGTTAAAAATGGGCAAAGAGTCTAAATAGACATTTCTTCAAGAAGATTCACAAATCACCAATAAGTATATGAAAAGATGCCAAACATCATTAGCCATTAGGGGAATGTATATCAAAACCATAATGAGATCCCCGTTCACACTCATTAGGATAGCTGTAGATAATAAATGTTGGCTAAGTTGTGGGCAAATTGAAACTCTCATACATTGCTGGTAAGAACGTAAGGTGGTACAGCCACTTTGGAAAACGATTTAAGTTTCTCAGAAAGTTCAACATAGGGTTACCATATGACCCAAGAATTCCACCTCTAAATATACACCCAAGGGAAATGAAGAGGTGTCCACACAGAACCTTATATACGAGTGTTTATTTTATTTTATTTAAATTTTTTTCAACGTTTATTTATTTTTGGGACAGAGAGAGACAGAGCATGAACGGGGGAGGGGCAGAGAGAGAGGGAGACACAGAATTGGAAACAGGCTCCAGGCTCTGAGCCATCAGCCCAGAGCCTGACACGGGGCTTGAACTCACGGACCGCGAGATCGTGACCTGGCTGAAGTCGGACGCTTAACCGACTGCGCCACCCAGGCGCCCCTATACGAGTGTTTATAGCAACATTATTTACAATAGCCTAGAAGTGAAAACAACCCAAATGTCCACAACTGTTGAACAGATACATAAAGGAATGATGTGCTGATCCACGCTACAACATGATGTATCTTGAAAACATTATGCTAAGTGAAAGGAGCCAGTCATAAAAGACCACATATTGCATGATTCCATTTATACCAACTGTGGAGTGATGGAATGGTCTAAAATTGAACGTGATGGTGGTTGCAAACTCTGTGAATATACTAAAAATGACTGAAGCGAGCACTTCAAATGGGTGAATTGTGAATTATATCTCAATAAAACTGTGTTTAAAAGGTAGAAAAATGGTAGAACAATTTTTCCTTTTCACAAATCTTTTTTTGTTTATTTGTAGTTGTTCGTGCATCTGGTAATTTATCTCCTGGAAATAATATGGGGAGAAAGCATAAATCTTTCCAAGGCTTTTAATGTGTACCGCCAAACTACACTCCAGAAAGTTTATAGAGTTTTGCACATTATTAGCCTATTCTGCTTTATCCTTGCCAACATAAAGTATTTATTATTAGCGGTATTCATCCGAGTGAGCGTTCCCTGGGTCTATCAGAGTGCCTCGCTTAGAGAAGGCATTCAATAAATAAATGTTCGAAGTGAAACAAACCTTTGGCTGATTTTTAGATACAAATGGTTTCCTTTGATTTTAATGAAGCTATCTTTGCTTATTAGTGATGTTGACATCTTTCGTTATTTTATTGGCCATGTATAGTTTTGGGAATTGTCTGTTCACATCCTTTGTCCGTTTTTCTTGTCCTAGCCTCACCACTATGTGGCTCTGGGTTCAGTTCTCTCCTCTACGAAATGGTGAGACTCATACACATCCTGTAAGGTTGTTATGACATTCAAATGGAATAATCTGTATAGACACATCTGGTAAACAATATAGCAATATGCGAATGCTTTTTTATGATTTTACCAAAGGGACCAGTGAGGGCCAGAGAACTACCAGGATTTACCTGAAGTCACCAGAAAGCTAATGTGGGAACATGTCTAGAACTAGGACCCTGGGATGTGGGCCATGGGACCGTGTCCCAGGATCCTTCCAGAGGGCTCTGCTGCCTCCAGTGTCATGTGCCCTCTGGTGAACCTGTGTCTTGGGATAAGTAGTTCTCCTGTGTTGTCCCCTGTAGGTTGTGGCTGGCCAGACCATTTCCTTGGTTCCTCCCAAGCTTCTGAATACCTGGAAGGACCATTTGGACAGTGTGGCAGACATCCTATATGTAGATACCTTCCAGCTGGTTATCAGTGCTGGCCAGGACTGTAATGTCAAGGCTCGGAAACTCTCCGGTGACACCGTTGGTATGGGTCCTACTGAAGTTCAGCCGTGCCACATGGCCCATTGTGGTTCTGTCCCTGTTAGAGCATAAACTGGCATAAACCTTATATCCTATGGGGTGGAGTTTCAAGCCATAGCAGCTGCCTTTGCTCAAATAGTATCACAGGATATGTGCCTTTCCAATTGTCCGTTCAGCAGTGTGTCCATTCATCCATCAGCTGTCCATCTAACCCCCCACCCATCCACCCAACATTATTTGCCTGTGTATATTTTTGCAAATCACGTATCTGAGAAGGCACATTCCTTTCTCTTTTTAAAAATAAACTTGGGGTGCCTGGGTGGCTTAGTTGGTTAAGTGTCTGGCTCTTGATTTTGGCTCAGGTCCTGATCTCACACGTTGTGAGTTCGAGCCCATGTCGGGCTCTGTGCTGACAGCAGAGTCTGCTTGAGATTCTCTCTCTCTACCTCTCCTGCACACTCATGTGCACTCTCTCCCTCTCTCTCAAATAATAGAAAAATAAACTTAATTGTTGAGTTATAACCTATATAAGGTAAAGCACACAAACCAAAAGGGTTCAGCTTGATGAATTTTCAGAAAGTATACATATATCCTTATAGCCATCACAGAAAAAGCACCGTATGCTTTCTTACACTTGATACTTGCACGGTCTATGTCTCAGCTCTTCTGCCCTGCCCCCAGCCTTCACTGGACTGCCACTATATACCCTGTGAAGACCTGAGGGAAAGAGTTGGTGGGTAGCTACAGACTTGCCCTGTGGCTTGAACATCCTGGATTATAGTATGTCATGCCATGTGAGGCTGTTCAAAGTTCACTAAGCACTCATCTGGGCTTATCCTCCTCTCATTACTCTGTCAGGGCTGAAAGCAGCCTTGGTCTCTTGTCTCTTATCAAAGGTTTATTCCTTTCCTCGCATTTTTAGCTCTTATATGGGTAAAAAACTCTTTGATTATTTTTATTTTATTCCTGTCCTTGGATGGAATTCCTCATTTTATAGTTTACATCCTTGAACATATTGCCAATGCTATTTTAAAGTCTTTGATAACTCTAATATCTGGTTCACTTCTGGGTCTGTTTCTATTGCCTATCGTTTCTGTTGGCTCCAGACATGATAGACTAACAAGGACTGGATTTACATTCTCGCTTTAAGCAACTAAAAACATGAACAAAATGTATGTGACAGTTTCCAGACATTAGACAGCAGGCAGCAAAGAATAGTAAGCCCTGAGGTATTATAATTTATACATAATATACTAGTATGTATTGTATATATTTGTAATATTATAAATTACATCTGTATTATATGAAATATAGATATAATATTATAATATATAATATAAGTAAATCTATAATATTATGAATATACTTCATGTGTTACAAAAGGTAGAAGAAAACATCAAAATGTTAAGGAGAGAACT